GCTGCCATCCAGAGGGACCTGGACAGACTGGAGGACTGGGCAGCGAGAAACCTCATGAGGTTCAACAGGGGCAAGTGCAGGGTCCTGCACTTGGGGAGGAATAACCCCGGATACCAGATACCAGAGTCCAGCGCAGGGCTACCAGGATGATCAGGGGCCTGGAACTTCTCTCCTATGAGCAAAGGCTGAGGGAGCTGGGCCTGTTCATCCTGGAGAAGAGGAGGCTGAGGGGGGACCTGATCAACATGTATAAATACCTCAAGGGAGGCAGTGAGGAGGAGGGGGCGGCCTCTTTTCAGTCGTGGCCAGCGATAGGACTAGGGGAAATGGCCACAAATTGAGGCACCAAAAGTTCCACRGGAACTTAAGGAAGCATTTCTTCACTGTGAGGGTGACGGAGCACTGGAACAGGCTGCCCAGAGAGGTTGTGGAGTCTCCTTCTTTGGAGATCTTTAAAACCCGCTTGGACGCAGCCCTGTGCCACGTGATCTGGGTGACCCTGTGTGAGCAGGGCGGTTGGACTASATGASCTCTGAGGTCCCTTCCARCCTTGGGCATTCTGTGATTCTATGATTCCTCACTTTAAAAAACAGATCCTTTTTTGCATATTCCACCTTAAAGGGCTCGCTCTTCTCAAAGACTCAAAGTAGTTATCTCATGGTCTCAAGTACAACAAAAACTGGTCCAACAGTTTCTCATTGACAGCTTAATCCAAATTAAGTTTCTTGCAAATTATCATTTGCACCCTTTTCAATATAAAACAGTACCATTCTAACCTGAGAGTATTTCAAGAGATTGTGCAAAGAGAAAAATAAATTAATAAGCCAACAAACAAAGCAGCAAAGGAAAATCACTTGATTTGCTTGATCTCAACAGAATGTTTTTTGCAAAGTTTTGTGCCGCTGAGTTATAACCCAGTGTTTTCCTTCATACACTGAGCTTAAACGCTGCATGGCTGGTTTAATGTCGCACTTTTCAGACCCAGCAATCACAAGCGTAACCTCAGATCTCTGTGCAAGACCTGGGCCACGGATGGCTCGGTTAGTATCAAGTGCTTGATAATCCCCAACAATTTAGGCACGGTCTTACCTTGGTACTGCTGTCTACAGAAACCAAACAGGACTGGATAAAGCAGGACTCAGAGAGAGGAGCTGGATTCTGTTTGACTGCCTGCTGCCCAGCAGAAAACCCCAAGTCCCTGCCACGCAGCTTTGCTCACTAAAGCCCGGAAAAACATACAGAAAAGCCTCAAACCAAGTAAAATCCTCACAAGAGAGGTTACTGGGAATGCAGTGAGAAGGATCTGCTCAGAAGCACCCATGTTATAGCCCTCTGACAGCAATTTTGAAGCAGCCCTGCCCCCTGGGAGCTAATGACATCCCATAAAGATAGGGTTGATGTGTTAGGGTCTGATTCCTTTCAAACTGAGGCTGACCTGAACTGCTCCCTTGCTCACAGTTTTGTGGCTGTCTCATCAAACAGGGACTAAGAGCACTCACTGAAAGAGAATGTAAATTCAAGAGCTCTGCTCTTTTATCCCTATAAAGACAATCCTAAAGCTTTATTGGACTGCTTTCTGGCCTAGGAAGAATAGAGCTTATTTGTGAGATATCTATGAGAGTCGAGATGCCAATCAAATTTTAATTAGCAAATCTCTCTCCTGCCAGACACCAGAAAGGGCTGTGAATGTTCTCAGATGCTTCTGCGGCAGCACAGAGTGCCACACAGCAAGCAAGAGCCTGCAGTTCCCTCAGCCTCTCCTCACCTAACAAGCTTTCAATTCTCCGAGTTTCTGCTCAAAGGACTTGGTTCACCTCCAGTCTGGTGAACTTTCACTCTCCAGAAACATTTCTCTATTTTAGTCAAACTGCAGTAAGAAGCAGTCTTGCTTCTATGGCTAAAATACAGCTGCTGTGGTCGATCTCTGTCAGCAAAGTCAGAGGGATTATTTATTTATTTATGACCTACTGTTTTTGATTGAAAATATCCTTTTAAAAATCTGAACGTTGATCAGGACAACAACAGAACCTCTCGTTATCAGTGTCGCAAGATAAAGTATGAAATATGAAGTGAGGAGACAAGCTCCTCTGCAATAACAAAAATAATTCATACTGTCTGTGTTGATCATAACGCTCAAACTTAAGGGTGCACRCAAAGGAAAACTGCTTCACTTGATCCAGAAGCTACAAACCACCAGATCTGGAAACAAGTGAAATCTTTCTGGCTGAACATGGGAAATGCAATGCCTAAAAAGTTTCTTACCATTGCTGCCTATGTATATGATACACTGGTCATGCAGAAGATGTGTTTTCATACCTCAATGAGTTTGTCTCCTTTGACTACATCCAGGTGTAAGCCAGGTGGAGGCTTCCCTGCCCTGAAAAATAAGGAAAAATACAATATTAGAGTATTAAATACATATATATATATGGGTGTATAGTACTGCAGCTGGAACACACTGAAACAAGTGAAGGCAGATTTACTTTGGGGAAAACATGAACCCCCCGTAACCGCTGCCTCTTCCTGCTGATGCACATAAAGTATCTATTTTTTTAAATGGAAGTTAAACTGACAACATATGGGGCATTCCAAGCTTTATTTCTCTGGGGAAAAACAGCTCATTTACRAAACACGTACAGCTGCTCCCAACAGGACTAGAGGCGAGGCCAGGGAGCCCCCAGCTCAAAAAGGGAATTGGCTGGGATCATTTTCAAGGAACTTGTCCGCTTAAGGGCCTGCCAAAACACTCTCTTTCTGCATGTTATCTTCCAAATAGCAGGTCTAAATCCCCAGCTGCTGAGAGGGAGAGAAGCTTCCACAGCTCTTCCCTTCTGGCTGAGGGCCCATACCAGCACGGGGCTCCAGCCACACCATTATTCACGTTTTTGACCCCTGCCCAGCAGCCTGCCCTGTCACTCTCGCCCATAACCATAGTCTCCTACCAACCAAACCAAAGAGCTCAACGGAAGAGAMTGCGGCTGCCGGGGCTTCGCCAGGGAGGTTCCATTATTCCCACCGAGAAAGAGGGAAGAGAAGCAAGCGGCACTGGGCAATTTACAGGAAACAACGGCAACGGGCAGCAGAACCCACGCGGATTATGAACCACGGCGCTCAGAGCCAGGCATCTCTGTGGTGCGACTACATTGCCCTTCACTGCACAGGTTCTTGGGCTGTTGGGAGCAAATGATGTTTGCACTAACACGCTGACGATAAAGGACTTGATTGGCACATGCTGATGCGAAAGGACTTAGAAAAAGGATTCAGTCTCTGGCTTCTTAAACGTTTCCTATAGACTCTAGCTTCCTCAACCAATTTATGCCTGCAAAACATTTCTTAGGATACTGTCAGAAAAGAAAAGCACCTTTAGCACACAATAAAGCAAAATCACAGCTAAAGCTGCCAAATTTCGTTTTCATAAAACTCTTCTAAGAAGTAGCCAAAGTCCCTGGCTGCGTGTCCAGTCCTGTGCAAAGCTGCAGAGTGGCCCAGTACCAGCGGTACCGGCCACGTGGGCAGCGCTACCAGCCCTCGTGCTCTGCCTGTGGTGCCACCAATCCCCCGCACCAGGGAGGGCAAACGCTGCATGCAAGGCAGTCTCGTGCAGGGACCCGCGGGCACAGAGTCTGCTTGCTCTGCTGGGAGGAAGTATTTTCCCCTTATTCCCTGCCCAACAGAGTCTTCTCCCTTCCAATTACCAATGGGTTAAAACACCCATCAAACTGATTGTCCCAAGCAACTCAAAAAGATGGAGAGGTCAAGTCAATGGACTCTCTCTAGAGTATAGAGAACCGGGTTTAGGACTGCTCTGAGGTGACAGATCTTATCCCAGAACTTGGATCCGTGCAAGCTGTTTGCTCTCGCGTGGGACAAGACGCTGTTCTGTGCCTTTCGAACCGCACGCTGCTTGAACGACCCCTAGTACCTGCATCTGCAATCGACCTTCAAAGCAGATCTGCAAAAGCACTGCCTGCTGCCGGCTTCTTGATTTGGCAAGCTGAACTGCGACTAAAYGTGTTTCTGTTTGAAAACACGCTTAGACCGGATCCCAAGGGCATTAAATGAATCCTCTGGGTCACAAGAGGGATGAGAAGACAGTTTTTCTTCAGCAAGAAGGAGCACAAGGAATCCAAAATCAAGGTTCAACAACAGAGATTTTAGGACAAACTGCCCAACCCAGGTGGGATTTACCCAGGTGACCTAAAGCACATCAAGTACCAAACAGCTTCCTGCATACCACAGCTTCACAATCTATTGCTTAAGCTACTCTCACTGCCACAGGAATAAAGGTGCAATGGAGAAAATACTATTCCATAAAGGGATGTAAATTAAAAATTAGGGAAGAGCACGGCCCTGCGCAGTGCCATGTTTAGAAGACCCATGAGCAACCTGGAAAAYCAGTCTGAATAACCCAATAAGGGAAAATCACCATGGCCAGTTATTCAAGACAGTCACGCTGACTACGGGGCTGCAAGAGTGCTTGAAACAAAACGGTCCGTGAATAAAAYGGCATCCTGGAGCGCAGTGTCATGCAGAAGGGAAAGGGCCCCTGAGCCACACAAACACAACACGGGACTCCAAATTCACGACTGTCACTCAGGAGAGATCTAGAGCCATCACGACTGTTTTCAGAGAGAAGCAACAGCTGACAAAGCAAAGGCTCCAGAACGAAGACATTTTTGTGTCACTGTACAAATAAAATGTATTTCCATCTCCAATGTTGTAGTAGTTCTGCCTTCCTCATCCGGTAGAGGAGGGCACGAGGTTGATAAAACAGCAGGGAGGGCTTTGGAGATTGGGAAAAAAAATAATAATTCTCTTCAGGAGTTTTAGGGGAAGAAGAGAAGTAAGTATTCACTCTCCGAGCTCCCTTAACAAATGCTGTAGAACTCCTATATTAATTATATCTTGAAACACAGGAATGACGAGGCCTTGAGTCCAAAAACAAGGAACTTTTGCCTATATTTGCGTAATTTGTGGATGCTGTGGAATGAAAGAGAGAGAGAGAGAGCACGCGCGAAAGAGAGA